GTGCGTGCGTGCGTGTGCGTGCGTGCGTGTGTGTGTAAATATTATTTTTACTTTTATTAAAAAGAGATATAATAAAATGTAAAAATTTTAAAATTAAAAAAAAATAAGATAAATGAATTTCTTTAATATTATTTATTAAAGAATTTATCAAAAAATAAGTGTCAAAAAATCGATAATGGATAAATTAAAAGTTTGATAAATTCTAGCATTGTGTACAATGCTGATGAAAGGAAAGAAAGCAAGATGAATTACGACAATAAATTTATTGAAAGAGTTTTATTACAATTGTGACTTACAGGTTTATTCCATAAAGTGATCGCACAAAGTGGCGTTAGTTCAAATCCTTGGGCCTTCCATGAATGGACGGACCATGGTTTTCGGCTTGCCAAAAAACTTGGTAAAGCAACATTAGATCCGAAAGTCGCGTACGAGTTCCTAAAAACTATTGATGCGAAAATACTTACGGAAAATTCACAATGGCCAATTTGCACAGAAGCAGTAAGTATTTCAATATTTTATTAAAATGTGGATTTTTTTTTTTTTTTTACATTTCTATATACGCTTGATTTTTACTGTGCAAAGACTAAAATATTTTGATATATACATAAAATATTTTCACATTTTTAATATCATCAGGAGAAATTGAGTTTTACCTTCTGCTTCACACCTAGTCTGGACACCAAATCACCAAATCCAGTTTTTCCTAAACATCCAAAGGAATATATAAGCCACGGGGTTCAAGTGCCCTTTCTTTTAGGATTTAATCGTAACGAAGGGATATTTGTATTATGTAGCGACTTTTTTGGAGGTAATGTACAATTACATGCTATTGTTCTCATCAGAAATGTCTGTTTTGTTTTTTGTTTTTTTTGCATACAGTTTTCATGTAGTGTGATTTTTTTTCCTAATAAAAATATTAAATAATTCATATTTAACAAATATGCTGTCAACATTTAAAGAGAGTTTCACAATATTTTAATTTTTTTATAATATTAAAAAATAAATTTTATTTTATTATAACTTTCGAATTTACATAAAAATTATTAAATATAATAATTTTTATGTAATTATTAAATATAATAAACAATTATATAAATCCTAAGACAAGCCTATATTCTTTTAAAATAACATTTTTATTAAGTTTTATCATTGATTTTATATGTTTGCCAACGTCTAAATCTACTAAATAAAATATATGTAAATACAAAATTTAATATTATTACGGTTTTATATTATGCATTATTTTAGAGATAAATGCTTTTCACAAACATTATAAAGTTCAATATTTCTTAATAAAAGTATACTCCTAAAATATAACTTGTTTGATATACAATGCCCCAAAATAATTAGTATAATCGCTCTTACATTATTTCAGATATAAGCAAGGAAGATTTGGAAAAAGTAAATGCTGATTTTAAAAAAGCAATATTATCAAACGTATTATCCGAATTACCTAAAATAGGAATTACAGTCGAGGAATTAAGATCTTTATATTTTGGAAAAAGAGAAATATCAGAAGAAACTTTGATCAATTATGCGTATTTCTTAG